GCCCTCCATCCTCTCAGGTGCTCTGAACTTTGCCTCCTTCCACCCTGAAGGAGAAGCTGCTCAGGCATTCCAGGTCACCCCAGAAGATCCCGGCAAGCATGAAGGCCTGTGAACACACTTCCCTCCTTGTTGGACCGATTTATTGGATTCGCAGGGCTGGAGGCTTACAGGAATGGCCTGAGGAGGCCTGCCCAACTGCCTCCACCCCCTGCTCAATCTGAGTCAGTCCAGCCCTCGTATCTCTGACCAACGCAGCAGCAGCCCCAGGAGAAAGCAGACACAAGCATCTTCAAGGGCAGATCCACACAGGGACTTTGCAATAATCCAACTTCGAGGCTACTGTTGCATCTACATTAGTGGCCAAAATTGTGGAAACCTTTTGGGAAAAGTGTACAGTAGAAATGCCACCTTTGGTTAAGTTTCCACCCATTTTTCTTCTAATTTCTTTATAACTATAGCCTTGGTCACTTAATAATACTATTTTACATCGCTTTCTGGGCAACCGGTCAACTCTTTGCACCATGACTTTATTTTTATTACGTTTTACACGCTCACTAAATGAAAGAACACACAAAAAACCCAACCGACTTGATAGCGATCACATAACACACTGACAAATGTCCTTCTCTCAGCTTCAATACATGATATCAATCACTGAATCCTGCCGTGATCTGATTGGCTCATTGCCAAAACAAGATGACACCTGATTGGCTTTCTAAACACTCATGCTCATTGGCTACTATCAGATGAAGCAAAGCTGCCTGATATCAACCTAAGCAAGTTGTGCTTCCTTTTTCTGATTATTTGGCTGTAACTTTCCATAGAATACAATACAGATAACTGAACAAACTTTGTTGCATTACATTCTTGATTAATCTTTCCATTGATATATAATTTTATGGTACTTCTCCAAAATAAAAGTGATGTTATTATAAGGTGACCAACCGTCCGCTTTTAAGGAGGACAGTCCTCCTTTTGTGAGTTCTGTCCTCCCTCGAAAAGTGTCCTTCTACATGTCCTCCTTTTCGATATTTGAAGACTAATCTGCAGGGCTTTTTTTTCTCATAAAACACTCAGAACGGCGTTCTGGCACCTTTTTTTGATTTTTTTTTTCAGCTTTTGCATGAGCTGTGCTACTCCCCCTATTGGCTTTCGAAAGCCAATAGGAATTGCTGCTGAGCGCACCAAAACACTCGGCTGGCAAACTTTGCACATATAAGTTGTCTGCAGCGAAGGTGAATTGGCAGGAACTTTGCATCCCTCCCTGCTACCCAACTACACCATCTCCTAGTTAGTCCCAAAGATACCTGGAGGAGACTGGAGCGGCGATGCCACAGTAACTTTCTCTTGATCTTCGGCCCTGCTAGGGCAATAATGGCTGTGGGCGCAAGAGTCAGGGGCGTCGGGGCTGCTGTGGGCGGGGGTGTGAGGGGTGGCAGTGGCCGGCTGCCCCCCATGCTGTGGGAACCGCGGGGCCTGCTCTACATGGGGCTGCGCAGGGTAGGCGGTGGTGCTGGCGGGGCGGCTGCAGGTGGGTGTGTTGATGGTGGGCTGCCCCCGGGGCCAGAGCCAGCGCAGCTGGTGCTTTGGGAGCCGCAGGGCCCACTCTACACGGCGGGGCGGCTGCGGGCGGGGGCGCGGCATGTAAGCATAATTACAATATAAAATGTTATTGTTACAAATGTTTTTATTATGCATTTATCATATTATAGTGTATTCTGTATTGTTGTTGTTAATTGCGAAGTCGTGTCCGACCCATCACGACCCCATGGACAACGTTCCTCCAGGACTTCCTGTCCTCCACCATCTTCTGGAGTCCATTTAAATTCACACCTACTTCTTCAGGGACTCCATCCAGCCACCTCATTCTCTGTCGTCCCCTTCTTCTATTGCCCTCAATCTTTCCCAGCATTAGGCTCTTCTCCAGTGAATCCTTCCTTGTTGCAATGAATAAAATGTTTCTTTTATTTACAATATTTTTTTCTTCAATTTATTTGTGTCCTCCTTTTCAGTGTAAAAAAGTTAGTCACCTTAGTTATTAGCCATCAAACCTCAAAAATACACTTTCCCAAAAAGGTTTCCACAATTTTGGCCACTAATGCATCTGTGATGATCCAGGGCCCCAAATGGAGGCAAAGCAATTAGCTGGTCAGAATAATTGTCTTTGTAAGCACTGCCAATGTTCACCCAACATCCCCCGCATATGCTGGCACAAATTCAATAAAACAGTCAATGGAGTTAAACAGTTCTTTAAAGTAAAACAGATAACAAACAAAGTATGATCTTTTCAATGCCCAGCTTGCCTGTAACCTGCAAACTGCAAGACAGCAAGGAAAACTCAGCAGGAAACAAACTTGATCCAAAATACAAAGAGTACAGGTACAAGAGCTCACATCACAAGAGTTCACATTTGTTCCTGGAAAATGCCCCACCCCATAGCGTCTCCTTAAATACCTACTCCCCAGGTGTGCCTTGTGGAGTGGGGCGTGACGCTCTCCTCCTGAGCAAGTGAGCTTGCCTCTGTTCCCTCCTCCTCGCTGCTCTCCTTGCTCTGAGATCTGGTGGGGCCTTGCTCCTCGCCTGAGCTCTGCCTTCCCTGTTCCACACTTGAAGGGCCCTGCCTGCTTCAGACTGTTCCTCCCCACAGTCCTCCGAAGCCACAGACACCCCCTCGTGGGCCTCAACAGGGAACTCCATGTCGTCCTCAGAGTCAGGCTCGGATGGAGGCATGACAGTATCTTTGAAGCCAGACATTTTTCTCCTCTGGGTAAAGCCGAGAAAAGGTTCCCCTTACATTGCTGCTAAGGAGCTACCTACAAGGGCCATGAACCATGTCAAAATAGTGAGCATGAGCAGAACTGCAAGGCACGTTGCATGCCCCCAAGCAAATAAAAAGGGGTGGGGATGCCCACCATTTTGACGTGGTTGACAGCCCCGTGGATGCCTCTGCTGTCCACTCATGGTCAGTTCCGGAAGAGGAAGATCCTGGCTGTGACCCACTTCCTTAGTGGAGGCATCTACCTCTTTGAAAGAGGGCTTCATCCGGGCTCTGGACTGGCGGCCGGGATCAGCCTCAGCTTCAAATAGTACAAACTCAGTTTCAGTTTGTTCTCCCACATCTGGCCATTTGTGATCCAAAAAGACGCAAAGCCTCTCAAATGTCACTCCACAACCTTGAAGGAAGAAAGCAGAAATGTTGTCAGTGGGAGGGAAACGATGTGAGGGAGTGCACTTGGGCAGCTGGACTGAATAGGACAGTGGTGGCGAACCTATGGCACACATGCCAGAGGCGGCACTCGGAGCCCTTTCTGTGGGCACACACGCTGTTGCCCCAGCCCCGCCTCCCCCCACGGCCCCCTCCACACCAGCAGCCCCCCCAGAGGAGAGTCGCCCCCAGGCACGGTCCATGCGGAGCAGCGCAGCCAAGGACATGGCAGCCAGGCAGCAGGGACAAGACTCTGCCCTCGTGCCCCATCAGGTGCAGATGCTGCTGCGGGGCGTGGGCGGAAGGCATGGCCGCCATAGTGCTGCAGGGCCGCCTGGGCAATCTGCAGCAGGCCATAGAGGTGGTGAGTGGCCCTGCGGGCAGACGGGGCAGAGCAGGGAGGCGGAGTAGGGGGGCAGGCGATGGGGAGGGACGGTTTTTGGGCACTCGGTCTCTAAAAGGTTCGCCATCACTGGAAGAGGACATGCTGTATATGAAAAGGGTCTGGAGTCTCAGTGGCTCACAGGCTGAACATGAGCCGGTGGTGTGATGCAGCAGCAAGAAGGGCAAGGACAGTTCCAGGCTGCATTGAGAGAAGCAGAATATCAGAGTCAAAAGACGTCTTTGCTCTTCTCTGTTCTGCATCGGGCAAACCGCTCCAGAATGCTGCAGCCCCATTTTAGGAAGGATTTGGGCAAATTGGTGGGGGGAGGGGAGATAAGAAAAGCAGTAGGGATTGGAGGGAAACATAGAGTGGCTGAGTCTGGAGAGAGAAGCCTGGGGAGGCCTGAAGGGGCAGAGCCTGAAGCTAGGAACAGAAATTTTGGGCTTCAGTTTCGAGGGAGCAGATTTTGGCTGGACATCAGGAAGAATTTCTTAAGGGTAGAAATTGCTCCTGTTGGGCCAGACAGAGCTCAGAAGAGGGATAGAGACTCTCCTTCCAGAGGGACTCTGACCATCTGCCAGGAGGTTCCCAAGTGGATTTTGCTCTGCAGCCCCCTGATGGAGGGGGGGGGGCAGGAAATGAAATCCAGAGTCCTTATGTCACCTTCTGTAATGTGCTTATTATCCTGGTTATGGAATTAACCCATGTTCTGAGTTCACAAGGTACCCTGAGCCAAAAACTGACCAAAGGGGCTGAGCCCACCACACACATTAAACCACGAGAAACCAACTAAGATTAAAACTAACCAGGTTTGGCATGCTCAATCTTAGTTTAAAATCAAAATTCCCAGATCCCTGATGAGGGGTAGGAGTGTGCACAAAATGTCACCCATTTTGTCCTCTGCAGGGAACCGTCCCATTCTAGACTGATCTGATCCAGGCAGGTCATGATCCGGCCCAAATGAGCCTTAGTTTTAGGGGGTCGGCTGGCCTCTCTTTGGACCAAGACAGATGCAAAGAAATCTTAAGTCAGGGGAGGCTGGTGCCCCTCTTCCCAGTCCTCTCCCTGCCCCCACCTCATGGCTGTGTGCCAGCTGCTCCACTACTCCCCCTGTGCCTTCCTCCCCTCTCCCCATCCTGGTTTCCCCAACTTCCACCTGCATTTCTATCACTGCATGCCACCAGCCCACCTTTTCCCCATGGGACTCCTCTACCAGAACATCCATCATGCTTGGAAGGGCAGGGGTGTCTCCTGCAGGCTTTGATCAAGGACCCTCCACACACACACACACACACACACACACACACACACACACACACACACACAGAGTGTTGCCTGATTCCTGCATGGAACATTTGGTCGCTTCCTAGAATGTGCCTGTTGGTTTCCTTAAGGGAGTTGCGTACCCATCGCTCAGCAGCGGCTCCTCAGGACTGGCTACCCTCTCGCAGATGAATCTGAACTTCCACGAAGAGCCCTTTGGTGACAATTGTCCATTCTGCATGGCTGCATAGAGTGTATAATATTCATCATGCAGAGTTTCACTTCTGAAATGTTCAAAAGACACGTATGAAGAAACCCCAAAGTCAACATCTGCACAGATTGCTTTCTTTCTCTACTGAAGGTGAAACACAAACTCTGCTGCCGCTGAGTTTCCAAAGTGGACTGAACTACCAGCAGATAAACGACGTCAGAAACGGGGCAAGAGAGTTTGACGCTGCTGAGCAAACGCAAAGACAAGAGTGGGGATCCTTGTGCCATGCAAACGTGAGACTTGTGTTAAAAGGTGTGCAATGGCAACCCTCTCTGCGGGCATTGCTTCCCTCAAAATACGACAAGCTTTTCACTGCACCCCTGTTGTGGTGCCTTTGAGCCACTCTTGACACCTTCCTCTGTTGCAGCTTCAGAGGGGCCCTGCTCTCCCCTCCCTCTCCCCAGGGCTGGGAAGGGGTACCAGCCCTGGGTCACCTGAAACAAGATTGGGACTCACATTCTTCCAGTCTGAGGCCTTGAACCAGTGCAGCAAACTGGCTCTCTCACCTGGGAAATAAAGGTAAAAGTTTCCCCTGTCCAGTCATGTCTAACTCCAGGGGCTGCTGCTCATCTCTGTTTCTTAGCTGAGGGAGCCAGTATTGTCCAAAGATGCTTCCATGGGTCATTGGCCGGCATGGCTCTACTCCATGGCCCATGGAACACTGTTCCATTCCCACCAAAGTAGCACCTATTTATCTACTCACATTTGCAGGCTTTCAAACTGCTAAGTGGGCAGCAGCTGGGGCAGGTAACGGGCACTGACCCATCGCGTGGCGCTCGGATCTTGAACCTGGGCTGTCAGCTTTCCAGCTGACAACTTCAGCGTTTTTAACCACTGAGCCATTGCAGTAGAGCAATATAAAACCACAGCAAACAAATTAACTAAGAAGGGAGCAAACAGGTCTTCCATGGGTCCCAGAGAGATTTGGGGGACTGACAGCTGTTGAGATCCTTATTGCAAGAGAAATAAAAGGTAAGAAAGGACAAATGAGGTTCCAAGAAAGAGCAGTACAGCAGTTGGCATATGTTTCAGTTCATAAAACAGGTTAAATCTGATCTCTCCAGGGAGATCCAGATAAAATGCTCCCGCCCCCCAGTAAGTCATGCAAAGAGCCTAGGTAAGAGCTCTGGGCTAGGAAATGCAAAACTGGGCTGGGTGGGTGGGGGCATCAGGGCCTAAACATCTCCCTGCAGAGCTGATGCTTCTCTATGCCAGGGACAGTCTCTGCCCTCTTTAACCAGGGAAGGTCCTTAGGGCACCATTTGGAAAGACAGTGGCAACCAGGTGAGTCTTTGCTGGTCACCTGCTCTGCGGACTCCAGCTCTCACCTGAACTTGAACCCTTGAAGCGGCAACAGGCAGACGTCTTGACCACGTTCAACCCCCTCCAAGGCCTCTTCCTCCAAGGCTAATCGGTTAGCTAAGGTGTGTAGGAAGCACACACCATGATTGTAACGGGGGACTTGAACTACCCTGCCATCAACTGGGAGATGACCTCTGCATCAAGTGGAAGATCGAACAGGTTCCTGTTGAACCCGGCAAACAACTTTTCTCCTAAACGGTAGAGAAGGGAACTAGAGGGTCAAACAGACTTAATTCCCACTAACAGAGATGAAATGATAGAAGGTGTCAAAGTTACAGGAAATGTAAGGGTCAGTGAGCATGCAATATAGGAATTTAAGATTGTGCAAGCACAAGGAATAGACAAAGTCAAACTAGAATCTGGGGTTTTAAGGGAGCTGATTTCAACAAACCTGGTGAGTGCTTGGGAAGGATTCATGGATGAGAATCCTTAAGAGGAAAACAACCCAGGACGCTTGGGAAACTTTGAAAAGTGACATAATAAAAGCCCAGTCTACTACATCACTGAAGAACAAAAATAAGACATCCAGGTGATGAACAGGTGTAGGAACTGGGTAAGGCTAGTCTAGTGAAGAGAAGGACTAGGACTGACATCTGATTGCATCTTCCAATATTTGAGGGGCTCTCACAGACAGGAAGGGGTCAGCCTGTTCTCCAAAGCACCTGAGGGCAGGGCAAAAAGTAACAAGTGGAAACTAACCAAGGAGAGAAGCAACCTAAAACCAGGAAGGAATTTCCTGAAAGTGAGAACAGCAGAAATTGCCTCCAGAAGTTGTGGGTGCTCCGTCCCTGGAGGTTTTTAAGAAGAGACTGGACAGTCACTAGTCTGGGAAGGTTATAGGGTCTCCTGCTTGAGCAGGGGGCTGGACTAGAAGACCTCCAGGGTCTCTTCCAACTCTTTTTATTCTGTTCTTCTGTAAGGCTGGCAGCTGGACAGGCATTGCTTCCTCAGGCTGGGGTTCACCTCAAAATGGCCTCCCTCCTCCAAAGCCTTCCAAAGGGTGGTGTGCAGGAGCTTGAAACCCCCTCCTGGGTACCATCCCCCTCCCCTCTGCTGATGAGGGGCTGCCTCTACACCCAGGGAGAAGATGCCCCTCCATCCTTTACTTCCAAACGAAGACCAGACCCTGAGGAAACACCAGGGTCTCCAGTGGCCAGCAGAGTGACCACCAGCTTCTCCAGGACAGCCTCCTCTGCCACTCCTCCCAGCCTCCACAGGCGCTGATGGATGGAAGCCCAGCAAAGGCCTGTCAGCCTCACTCACCCTTTGTAGCGGGAGCCATCCACCCACTTCCAGATCCAGTCTGTTTCCATGGCATTCCAAAGTCCAACCCAAAAAGTCTGTAGGGTTTGAACAGGCAAAGTTCTAAGCATAGGTCGGTGCTGCTCCGCTGAGGCTAGGTATGGGGTGGGGGGTGGGGGAATCTGTCCCAATCAAACTGAATTTTATGGAGAGAATACATCCGCCTCCCCAAGAGGTGCCTTGCACCCCCTTTCCTCACCTCATAGAACCGCTGGTTGCCAACAACCTCCCAGAGCTCTCGTGCCGTCCACGGCTTCGGGAGGACCACCAACCGCGAGGACATCAACTCACAGGCCCTTTTGCTATCCTTCCAGTTCTTCTTCTCGCTCGACATCCACAGGCATCTCCAGCGGAAGAGGGTCCATCCGGGGGGGCAGCATCCTAGAGCAGTGATGGCGAACCTTTTAGAGACCGAGTGCCCCAAAACCGCCGCCGCTTCCCTGCCCACCCCCGCTCTGCACCCCACCCACCCACATGGCCATCCATCGCTTCCACGGCCCACCGCAGCAGATCGCCCAGGCAGCCCAGAAGCGCCAGGGCAGCCACATCCTTGCGCCCATGCCCCACAGCATCATCTGCGTGTGATAGGGTGCAAGGGCAGTCTTGTCCCCACTGCCTGGCTGCCATGCCCTTGGCTGTGCTGCTCTGCGTGGACTGCGCTCAGGGGCAACTCTCCTCTGGGGGGACTGCTGGTGAGGAGGACGGGGCCACAGGGGAGGCGGGGCTGGGGCGACAGTGCACGTGCCCACAGAGAGAGCTCTGAGTGCCACCTCTGGCATGTGTGCCATAGGTTCGCCACCACTGTCCTAGAGGGAAGGCTCAGAGGGGGCCCTGCTGGGACTGGACAAGCGGTGTCCGTGGGAATTTCCTCGGATCCACCCATCCCAGCCAAGGCCAGCGCAGACACCCCGCCCGAGGTTGGTGGCGGCCAAAAGGGGAGGGGGCTGGGGAAGGGTCGGTGCTGCTCCAGGACCCGCCCCCGCCTCCCCCAGTCCATGCCCCTGTTCCTGAAGTGCCACTTGCAGCTTGTGAGAAGTTTTATATCAAAATATATTTTACTCTTTTATAGTGTTTCCATTTCCCCTTAAAATATGAACAGAATCCACAGGGGTCTGAGAATCAGTGTTTCCACTAGATAATTGACAGTCAAGCTGAAACTGAATTAATCAAGTAAAAGAGCAAATGGGGAAATCCCTTTCTCAAACTTCCTCAAACCCCAAAATAATTTACTCAGACCCAATCCACATGTCAAAGGAGAAGGTCTGCAAACACAAACCGAGATAATTAAATTAGGTCTCCCAGAGGAACTGCATGTTCAGAAAAATAAACCTGCTTACACACACACACACACACACATGTGACATCCTGGACAAGCTTCCTCCCCATATAAAAATCTCCTCCCCTGCCCCATTTCTCTGCAGCCTGTCCCTAGAGGCAAACTGTTTTGCTTTTAGGAATAAATATTTCTTCTTTCTTCACAGCTGTCTGGATCTCATTTTTATTCTCCTGACAACCAGTTAATAGGGGATGGGAAGGGGGGGTGCAACCAGCATCTCTGGGGAGCCCCCTGAGAAGAAGTGAGAGGCGTTTGCAACAGCTTCAGAAGAATCTGGTCATGCTCAGGGCGCCTGGTTCAGCAGAGGAACTGATACTTCTTTGGAGGGGGTGATGGTGCTCAGTGACACCAGAGTCAGCACTTGGGGAGAGCTCATCCCAGGAGGTTCGCAAATGTGGAGAAGCAAGCCCACCCCACAAATGTGGGATTTGCCCACCCTGCTGCCTTCTCAGGGAAGCCCCCCAATAGTTATCCCCAGCCATGCAGACTATTCCACTGAAAGAAGCAGGAAGAGGGGAGCCCAGACAGAGCCCAAAACGTACCAATCTGCGGGCAGGAGGTGGCCCGGCTGAGGTTGACCTCCAGGCTCACCCTTTCGCTCTGCAGGAGAGCCAAGCTGCGGTTGGCTTGGCCCAGCTGGAGCTCCTGATGCTGCAGCTGTCGCTGGGTCCGGTTCTCGGCCACCTGGCTCTGCCAAAGAGCCACCAGGGTGGAGTGGAGCTTCTTCTTGGTGGAGTTGAGCTCCTCCTCGATCAGGAGCAGCAGGTGCCGGCTGTCTTCCAGGCTGGCTTTTAGGACGTAGATTCTGTCTCCCAGGACGTGGTTCCTGGCTGCGTGGTCCTCAGATGCTTGCTGGAGTTGCTGGGTGGCCTGCAAGTCTGGAGAGAAAGTGGGTGCGGATGAAGGTCTCTTCTCTAGGATTCTGGACTGCGAGGTGGGAGGCAGCCCCCAGCTCGACAGCCCTGCCTCTCCTGGTGGTGCCCTGGCCTTTGTGGCGATGAGCAGGAGCTGGGGAGGGGACCCAGAGCAGGAGTCCTGCACAGGCGAGGCTGCTCTTGGTATCCCACAGCCACAGCGTGGCTTGTCTTGGCCTGGGTGAGGACTTTCCCTCCCTCGGGTGCGGAGGGAGACATGACAACTCCAGAAGACCCTTCCTCTTCCCCCTCCCAAGAATTTGGGGGTTTGCCCCTTTATTCCCGGGAGATTGTTGGGGTGCAGGTTTGAGCACAATGCAGCTGCTACTCACACTGGACGCCAAGCGCAATGTTGGTGGCCAGAAGGAAGAGACAAATAACCAGGGCTCCCAGCATTGGCCGGTTTGTTACTGAAAGAAAAAATCCAGATCCTTCTTGATGCGTCCTCAAAATTCTTTCTTCCACGATGTGGGATAGAGGAGGGATCACCTGGTGTCCCACTTTCCGCTTTTATTCTACCGCTATAAAACAATTGCTGCTCTTATCCCACAGCTGAATAAAGCTGAAATAATGTCCAGATGATAAGATGTGATGGAAAAATAATAAAATAAATCAACAAACTTTTCTCTAAACTCTCCCCCCCCTTTTCCTTGCTTCTCCTTCCCCCCTTTTCCTGTTGCAAACTTTTCCCCCATTTGCCTCTGCTGCCTTTGCCCCCCACTTGCACTCCTAAACTGGGCCAGCCCCAGAATAACGCCCATCCCAAACACCGTTATGTTTCTGCTGCCAAAACAGCCTTTTAATCCTTTCTCAAGAACAATGCAAAACGCTCCCCTAAAAAAAAAACTCCACTTAGGAAGCAGGAGGTGAGAAACCAGAGATATTCCCTCCCCATCAAGTGTGCCAGCTTGGGGGGGGGGGTCTCAGTATCCCCTCCTCTTAATGGTGGAATCCGCAGCAGCTTCGCTTTAAAGTCTTCTTCCTTTCCTTTGACCATTTTCTCTCGCTCAAAAATATCCCCAGGAATCAGCAGATTTCTCACCCTCAACCCCCAAATATGAAAAGATCTCTGCCTTTTTATGGTCCGGGGGCCCTTTTTTCTTTCTCTAGCCCACCCAATGATGCTTGAATAAAGTTTCTCCTCAGCATGGTGACCCTTTCTTTGACGGAAAAAAAATTCCAAGACAGGGCATTCTTGAATTAAACACGCTTTCTTTCAACTTTTGGGTGAATCTATTTTTCTGTCTTTCCCTTTATTTTCTCTCTGTCCCCCTCTCCTCCGTCCCTCCTCCGTCTCTCTCCTTTTCCCTGCTTTTTCTCCGGTTTTGCCTCTTTTAGTCCTTGCTGGTGTCTAAACATCCAGCTCCTTTTTCTCAGCTGAACTGAGCTTGTGGCTCTGCCTTGGAGAGAGGAACCGGCTGGTCACGTGCCAGCTGCAGCCTCCTTCTTGCTGTGCAGCCATGGGCAGGAGAGGCTTCAGCTAGCCTGGGGCATTGGGAGGGGGCACAGCTACTCACCGGGACTCCAGCAGTGACAGGAGGTGGACCACCAGGGCAGTTCTGGGGTATTCTGTAGGGGGCCACACACTGCCACCTCTTTCTCTAGGCCCCAGGGTACCTGGAGGTTCTCATAGGTGAGCTCCCCCTCATTGGGCTCTGGAAGACAAAGGGGGGGGTCAGGCAGGAGAGGGAACAGGGGACCCTAGAAGGACTCTAACCAGGCTGACCCCTACCTTCCCCCTGGTTTTTCTCCGGAGGGCTTCTTGCAAACCTCAGGTCAGCGTAGGTGATGTCCCCGGCCATCAGACCATGCCTAGGGCAGCCCTGGAGCAGCAGAGTAAAAGGAACTGCAGCCAGCTGGCAGAGTCTACTCAATGCTCTCCTGGGGTGGCAGAAAGCAGAAGTAACTCTCTGGTGGGTGGGGAGCAGCCAGCCAAGCCCAGCCCCAAATTCCTGCAACTCTGGCCCTGCAGAGCACCCAAAAGCTTCATCTCCAGGGACTGAGCCGGCCGCCCACTGCGGACTTCCCCGGCCCAGCGAGACACGAATCATTGGCTTCCCCACAGTGAATGCGCCTCTTTGCTGCCTCAATGGCAGTGAGCCACAGGTTCTGGGAGGGGATTGCTTGATTCTGTTGCGCATCATCAGCTCTTAGTGACCACATTGACCCTCTGCAAGATCACTGCCCCTCCCTGGTCCTCCAATCTCCCCATGGTGCTTTCATCGTCCACCCTGCAGGTTGCTGGCCCTCCTCTTCTCTTTCCTTCCACCTTTCCCAGCCTCAGAGCCCTCTCCGCTGGGTCTTTGCAAAAGAGGTCTAAACTATGGCAATTTAAGCCTGAATATTTGTGCCTCAAGTCAGAACTCGGGACTGATTTGTTCCAGGATCCATTCTTTTACTTGGCTGTCCACCATATAATCAGGAATCTTCTCCAGCACCAAAGTTCAAAGCCATCCATGCTTCTCCTCTCCTGCTTCTTCCGAGTCCAACTTCTGCTTCCGTAGAGGGTGCTGGGAGATACTGTGGCTCTCACGATTCTGATCTTCGGACTGAGTGAGCCAGTTGTTTCCCAAGCACATTTTTGCCGGTCTTTGTGATGGGGATTGAGGAATGCTGGACTGGAACAAGATTAGCAGGGTTTAAAACTGGAAGAAGGGAGATCAATAACTATGCTGAGGACGTTACTCTGAGGGCTGAAACCATCAAGTCATCTGCAAGCTCTGCACGGAGCAGAGTAGAAACAGGACTAAGACAGGACAAACAGCAACAGCCTTAGAACTGGCCATGAAGCTGTTTCCTAGGATTGACCCTGAAGGACTTGGAAAAGATCCTCGTATATTATGATTGTTTCTACCTACAAGTTGGAATTGATTGATTGAACTTTTTAGTCCTACCCAGTCTGCTGTTACCACCGCAGCCACGCTCACCCAATGGGCCACGCCCAGCCAGTGGGCCACACCCACCCAATGGGCCACACCTACCCGGCACCCGACGATACATAAGTGGGTTTTGGGTTGCAGTTTGGGCACTCGGTCTCTAAAAGGTTCGCCATCACTGGTATAGGTCACCTATGAGAGCAGGGAGTTGGACTAGATGACCTTCAAGGTCCCTTCCAACTCTATTACTGTTACTGTTACATCCCTGGAGCAGATCCATGTGAATAGATCTGCAGTTGAAACACTGGCTAGGACAGCCAGGTTCTGCTCATGAAAATCTCTCTGGAGCAGTGGCCCTTTTAAGCCCTGATGCCAGCAGGTGACGGTGAAAGCTTGGCGTCTTTTAATTAAACTTTTTATAGTTTTAACTACCCTGGTGCTCATTTTATTTTAAACATGTATTGTTTTATTATTGCTTTAATTCTTAATTGGGAGCTGCTCAAGAGTTTGACCGTCAATTCTATGTTTTAAATTATTTAACTGAATTGACTATTTTTTTTAATTTTTTTTTTTAAAAAGGGAACCAGCACAGAAACCACTCCTGAGGGGTTTTTCCCTGGACAGGAACTTGGGAAAACCACTCTGGATTGACGAAGTCCTCGTAAACCATTTTGAGGATGTAGCTGGGCTGGCACAGCAGTTCCCTGCCAGAATGTCTCCGTCAACCCTCCTGGGAAAAACCAGACAGGAAATAGGATTAGGTAAGCTAATTCCTCTTTTATTGTAAGGCTACCTTGACTGATTCTTAACTATCTGATCCATTTCTTTCTCTGGCCGTTGAGCCACTGGAGGCCCCTGCCCCTCTTCTCTGAGGCTTCCCTTGGCAGCCTCTCTTCTCTGAGTGGGGGCGACCCAAGGGAAGGGGGTTCCTTTGGCAACCTGAACAGGCAAGGCCGTAATGGGGGAAAACACAGGCTCCCCATCCCAAGCCAGGCATTGGTAGCAACCTGTGAGCCACAAGGCAATCACGCCAGGGTTCAAACTCAGCACCCCTGATTCTAGAAGCCCCCAGAGACCCGTGGCTGGCACTGAGGGGGAGGCAAGCCTGGGCACTGAGCCTGTGCAATAGGACAGGAAGTGCAGCTCCGGCTCCCAGAGTGCCAGAGGGTGATGGTCCATTCCTTGGTAGACTGCTCCTACAAGGAAGGCTCTTCTGCACTGGCCTAGCCTTCCTCTACATGTGTGGGGCCACTATGGAACCCCCTTCCATAGTCCTTGTACCCCGAGCGCAGCTGAGTGGGAAGACAGGGGAGCTGTGGGCAGAGACCGTGGAGGGGGGGGGATTCTGCCAATGCCACGATTGCAAGGAAGTTCTGGCCTGAAACAGCCTGTGCTGTTGTCCACTGGCCCTCCCCCCCCCGCGTTTGTGCCGGTCACTGGCTCTGTAGATGCCTTTGCCAGGAGAGCAGCCAATCCTGGTGCTGAGCTTGGGGGTTTCCACAGGGCATCCTCAGGCAGGGTGCTGGTCCCTTTTGCTGCAACCATAGCAACCTACCCATCTCCATGGCAACCCAGCATCCTGCTCTGCAGCTGTGCGGCCTGCATAGCAACCACTTTGGCACCATATCCACAGCAGCCCTGAGAGTGGGATGGCCGAAACTGGAGGCTGGCTGCCACCCAGCACATCTGGAATGGGCGAGGGCTTCACTCCCAGAGGTTGTGTGCCCATAGCCACAGCTCAGAACAAGGCAGTGGCATTCACACAACCGACTAAACTAAGACTAACTTGGCTAGGGATATTTTATTCCTTTAGCTCAGGATGTTGAGGAGCCTTGCTGAATCCTGGTGCCTGCTCTCCCGAGACTCCACACACAGTACCCCCTCTCCTGCCTTTTCTCGTGAGGAATGCCCCCTCAATTTAAAAAAGAAAACCTTCCCATTAGGGAATAAAACTCACATCTGGTTCTTCAGCTGGCATCAAGGCTGCAGGATCAAGGACCACCGTCTCCCTCCCTCCTTCTCTCTCTCTCTCTCCTGGAGCCCAGAAGGGTGGGGGCATCTATCTCCTCCCCCTCACAGGCTGCTCTGCTGCCCTCTTGTGGCACACCAGCCACATGGCAACTAACTCCTTACTCGCCAGAACTCCCCCGAAGATTTTCTGGGCAAGCCAGCCCAGGAAGGGCACATGGCACGTGGCAGAGAGAAGATGGCTATCTGGAATCTAGAAAGAGCAACCAACCACGGCAGGACTTACTGACGGAGGAGACAGAAAAGGGAAAACAGGATAGGATCCAATAGACCTAAATTTGACAATTAATGCAGCGAAATGAAAGAGCAGTTTGATTCAAGCATGAATTCACCAAGTCAGCTAAATGTTTATGGAGATTCTATCATCCAGGTCATAGTTATCCCAAAGATGCTTTTTTACGAGGCAACTGGACTTTGTTTTTCTACTAGCTTTAATTTTTCACTTTGCCAGCAGATGCATGGAGCAAAATTCATCTCTTTTTTACTTTAACGAAGAAACACGCATGTTCATTTACTAATGCAGACGAAATTGACACTCAGGGAAATTAATCCTGTTCATTTACTATTCTGCCTCACGCAGAAAAGGCTGCTAGATTCCACTTGAGACAGACAGATATTCTCAAAACTCGGTTATGTAGAAGTTCTTCCAGAATGTAGATAGTAATATGGACTCATCTCACAGGTAAATGAACAGGGTTAATTTCCCCGAGTGCCAATTTCGTCTGCCTGCATTAGTAAATGAACATGCGTGTTTCTCTCTTCGCTCAAGTAAAAAAGAGGTGAATTATGCTCCATGCATCTGCTGGCAAAGTGAAAAATTAAAGCTAGTAGATTGCACCCTTGCAAGTAAAAGCAATATCTAATCTCTATGTCTGCTCCAAGAAAAGCATGCTTGCTATTCTCTGCTTGGCTAAAGCTATATCTTCATTAAGTGGCTGGGAAGTGAAGAGATGTCCTCAAAGAAAAACAAGAAAATCCAGTTGCTTCGTGAAAAAGCATCTTTGGATCACCAGGTCAGCCTTTCTCAACCTTTTACCTTGGAAATAACTGAAGAACTGAAGAGAGTGCCATCCTGAGGGAGTGCCACCTGGGGAACAAACATCCTGAGTTGATGGGAGAGAAGAGGCGAAAGAGCCAAACCAGGACAGCCTTTGACTCTTTAGGAAAAATGTCTGTCCCGAGTCTGTGCTGGAAGTGTGCACACCTATTCACATGTGCACCTGGGAAAGGAATGAAGAGAAAGCTGAAAGCATGGTTGACTTTATTGTTCATGGTTGAAATCCAAGGATACTGACCCCGGAACTGACTGTTTTTTGGCAGTGCTAAGGGAGGGTCGTGGAAATGCTGGATGTGGAAGGGGAAAAGCTGAGAAGGAAGCGCCTGTGGGAAGAGAGGGGGTGAATCCTGTATGAAAAGTGAGGAGGCAGGTGACAGAAGGCAGAGGAGGCTGCTGGGAAAAAAGGGAGGTTACGGTTGCACCCAGGGGAAGATTAAACAAAAAAGGACCACAGGATGAGGAAAAGGCTGTTGATAAGCAAAAATGCATGTAAAGGAGGTTTGTTGCAAAAATTAAGAAAAGATTGTACAATGTTCATAGAGTTGAAGCCTCCAGCAGAAGGAAGGGATTTAAAAATAGAAAGTATGGTGAGACTTGGGATCCATCTGAAGCTCCGCAGCTGTGCCCTGGGCCAAGCTGTCTTCGATAAATACCAGAGGGAAAGGGGACTCATAATTAGGCTGGCCCTGCGACCCCTTCCTGATGACCTCCAGCTGACAGGAAGGGGCTGTCTTTAACCAAGGACCAGCCCTGCCCTCCAGGGCTATAATTTGGCCAAAATAGCCAATATCACTGTTTGTCTTTGGGGTCTGATAGCCCATGAATGATCTCAAATCCCCCCCCCCCACCTTGCACTTCCCTTCCTGTTAGCTGCTAAGGCCAGGATTCGCTTCTTCTCCCAGCAACACCGCCTATCAGGAGCTGCAGATACACCAACCCACTCAGACCATGTACATCTAGACTAGGGGTCCCCAACCCCTAGTCTGTGGGCCAATACTGGGCCATGCCATGCCAGCAACTGGTCTGCACAAACAAGCAAAGCCCCATCCGTGGGATGCAGGCAGCACACAAAACCACGCACCCTCCAGTCCGCAGAAAATCCTCTTTCCATGGAACCGGCCCCTGTTGCCCAAAAGGTTGGGGACCTCTGATCTAGATGACAGATGACCTTTTGGAAAAGTCTGCTGAAAGGAATTACTGGAGAATAACCTCTCCCTCCCCACCCCACTCCTGAGGATACAGACCAAGAGAATGACAGAAAACATAACTTTTACAATCTCATATGCCCAGTCTTCTCCCTCCCCCTCTTACATTACAGCCTCCCAAGAACAGAAAATCAACACCAAACAGCGCAGGGTGTGGCAGGGGTACATTTATGCAACCATCACAAGCATTCCCTCATCTGAACTTGTTTTTAGACCCTCGACCACAGGTCAACCAAAATCACGGTGATGCTATTCAAATCCCTAAAAGCCTACTGTCCATTCCTCGGCCTTCCTCCAGCATGGAGCCCCCCTTCCTGCTTTGAGCCCTCCCCCAAACTGACCAAGCAGGTGACCAGCTGACGTTCTGAGTGGCCCCAGGGCTGCCGCAATCCGACCAAGAAGCCCCAGGGACCCCACACTGTTGCTGCCTGAGCAGAGGTCATTGCCCTTTTCGGCTTTAAAGCAATGTCGGAAAGTCAGGGCAGCCCAAGGAACAAATTGATGGAGCCTGGAGGACAGAGGCTTCCAGCTCAGGTGGAGACGAGCCCAGCAGGGGTTTCCTAAGAGGGCCGCATTTTTATTAGCACAGGAGATGAACCCTGGAACAAGCACACCGGACCTTCCACATATGTCCATTCCAGCCATCGCCAGGGAATCTTTGCCTTG